TTCCAGAAACAGTCTGTTTTTAATATTTTTCTCATCATTTCCAACTCAAAGAGCAGAATGCTTCCACAACAGTTGCATGCAAATAAACACATTTAATTCCCCCTTCATACTAATTTCCATATCATCACACAGTGCTGTTCGACTTGCAGCAGCAATTAATGAGAACTGAAGGGACAGAGAATTTATCGAGAATGAGTTTCATGAATAATTTTGGGCTTTTTGTCGATTTTCCAGGTGCCACATCTGCCCCTTGTCTCATCTTCATATTCCCTGCTGTCTTCTACCTTCGTATCGTACCCAAAGAAGAGGAGCCAATGACCTCATTTCCCAAAGTCATGGTAAGCATATCTTTAGAATGCCAGGAAATTAAGTTCAGTTGTATTTCTTTTAGGGTTAGCTTCAGTATTCTGTAGATGCTATGTTTAAGATGCTCTGCAGTGAATGGGAACAAAATAGACATGTAATGTGCTGAATGATCAGAATCAGCTTTAGTGGCAAAGTATTTTTAAACATACAAGGAATATAACAGTTTAGCATTAGTCTCAATGCATATACACAGAAATACACATATATTAAAAAAACATGTAACTATAACTGCTATTTACAGATATACATAAATATAAAAAATGTATAGTATATAAAATAACGGAATATGCCATTTATTTATATAATTTAGGCCTACTGTATAAGACAGTATATAGTACAACATGCTTACAGTTGTAATGATATTTATATGTTAAACACTGTACATCTATTTCTATTTAATAATGTAAGATTTTATTAAAATGCTTACACAGGTATTCAATGGTTTACTATGGACGTCACTGTAAATATTGTTATATTAGGAAAAGGATGCATCCGGTGTACTTAATGATCTCTCCATCCTGTTGTCACTGTCTTTAACTCGACCCCTCCTCCTCTCTTCTAGGCCGTTTGTTTTGCTACGATAGGCGTCCTGTTTATGATCATGAGCCTGAGCTTTATCATCTTGGATTGGACATCTGGCTCCAGCAATGCCAGCAGTGGTCACTAGGCACCACTCTCCATGTTTTTCTTTCAGGTTCTATATTGTTGATTTAGATCTATGTTGTAATGTTACAGTTTTTACTTTGAATGATGTTCAACGTTGAAGATGCCCTATCTCCTCCATTAGAGAATTTCGGCCACAGAGAAGGAGTCTAGAGTTCAGGAAGGCTCTCAATTTCTCCACAAAAGCTCTCACCCTAATGACATTACACTGTACTGTACATCCTGCCAAACAGTGACTGCCGATCCATTCCAGTAGACTTTCCTGGAAAGTTGATAATAGGTTGTTGACATTTGGAGGCTGTGCCTTGATAGGTGAATAGAAATAGGTGGATGTAAGAGAATATAAAGCAACACTTTACAAAGCTGCTGTCTTTATATGCCTTCCCCTGTGATGTTGGTTGTGAGCATATGCCGCCTCTTACCAACTCTGTGTTGTCCCTAACATGATCTCTGATCTGAAAACTGCTATTCGACACATAATACACAACCTGAGGCCCCTCCATTTTAACTGTAGATTGACAAAAATATATTGAATGATAGACAATTATTTTATGATGTTTAATTATCTATGATGTCTATTATTGTTATTAAGTTATTTCAACAACTACATGTTTGCCACACTGCAACTGCAGAGAAAAGTGAAAATGTATTTCACAGATTAGTGAATACTTTTCTTGCAGAGAAAATTCTTAACACTAGCTGCTTAGCTTAGCATAAATACCGGAAAGTGTTGAGCTGCTTCTTTTAAGTGTGCAGCCTTTAGCTCACTTCACTAAGTTGTGCTGCTGGTGGTTATTTTAAGGTTTGGAGGTGTTATCATTACCACCTCTGACAGAGCAGGGTGTACAACCACTGAAAGTATGTGGTATATAGCACATTTATTCTAACATTCCAATATGATCAAGATGTATATTTTCTTATTATTATAAAGCACTTGATGAAAACCTCAGATGATGCAGTATGGACTGATAATCCTCAGCTTGGTCTTTCTGAGGCGATCAATATGAGAGAGGCAGGTTTCAGGTTATGACCGTTGTTTAATGGTTCTTGGCTCTCTAGATCACTACATAAAACACTGCCTAGATGTACACAGTTTTCTCCAAGTATTACTGTGTAAATTAAAGTGATAAAATGGTACTGAAAACCTTATCAGGTGGATTGTATAAGTGATATATGAGAAGAAGAGAAATTACCGCTCAGTGTTCTTAATGATCGAGAAGGGAGCATTTTTACCTGTATGATGAACATGTACTGGAAGTGATCAGAGATAACAAAATAAAAACAGGGTCACTTAATTAAGTCGTTAGCAACAGTTTGGTGTCTGCAAATATTTTAGTGTCTAGCACAAGCTTGATCCCTAACACAAATGACACAGACATGGGACTTCTGTCTCGTTAACAATCTTGTTGGCTAGCAAAAGGACTTTCCGTTTGATAAGCACAACTTCTTGTAGCCATTAACAAGTTGAACAAAGCAAATGTGAGGAATTCACATATTAGTCAGATGTGATTTAAGGGCATGTATCTTTTGTAAACCGAAATCTTTGGTGAAGTAATCAATCTAATGTAGATTACGAGAAAATTAGCAAATGTTTTGATGGTATAATATGGATGTCTTCTCAAACATTACTTGAAATAACATTAAGGTTAGTGCACCTGTGAGCCCCTGCCATCATTATGTTCCCCCTTTGGTCCTTCTGTAGATACAAATAATTAATTGGATGTACTGTTGGAGGTGTTCAAGTGTCCGTGTTGTTAATAAAAGAAAACATGGCTCCAATGTAATTGAACTATAGTACCTACGTATATGCATTAGTGTTGTTAAACCTGGACATATACTCTGATCAGAAGTATAATTTAAGTGTTTGTCTCCCTCTATTGATAGTTTCGCTGTTGTTTTAAACGTTATGTTTAATGTTTATTCGATTGAATCTGACCAGTGATGAAATACAAACCTGTCAAATTATTGATTTCATGTTTTTTTAGTCAGTGGCGTATGATCAGTGGTATAGTTTGGGTCGTTTCTGACTTCCTTGCTGCTTCTTGGCAGACAGAAACCTACTAACTCGGATTTGATAGTGAGTTGGTTTACTTGTCTGAATATCAATATATTTTAATAATAAACTCCATTACACCAGAGTACAGTGAGTGCTGAAAAGCTATGTGAGTATTGTCCAGTCAATTTGCTACACAACAAACTTTTTGTTAATCCCTCGTTTACCATCTAGATATTGTCTTTATGTATTTGTATGCGGAGTGAATCATGCAAATCAGCCACTGGGGCATAACATATTGTGTGGCGTTGTTTAACCAATGCAATACTTATATTTATCCCCAACTTCCTGTTCCTAATTTGACCTTTGTGAGTTTTTCAATGATGCAAACATAAACACCCTTCTAAACCTCACAAGACACACACAAAAATGAAATTAACTTCAGGCAGCAAAGTTAGGGGATACACTGTGTTGGTGGCTGATATGATCTCTGAGGACCTCTATTTAGATGTCAGTGTTATAAGTCTCCGTCTTTGTGTGATTTATTGAAATGTGTATGATTGAAAAGTAACATAATAAGTATTGACATTGGCCAGCATTTATAAATAATGTATATAAATGTATACCCTTTATATTCTATATGCATATCTAGTTTGTACAATGTAAATAGCAATTAAAGATTTAGTCCAATTAAAATGTTAAATGTAATCATTTTCAAAGTGCTTTTAAACCTTTTTGTCCTTGGATTCATGTCGATTTTCTTGTATCTCTATATATTTTAATATGTTGCTGGCAGTTGTTGTACTGTAAACAATGTTGCAATAAAGATAATGAGGTAACAAAACTTTGATCTCTCCTCTTCTGTCAGATGTGGCGAACCAGAAACAGGAGATTGAATATTGTCTGACTGTTCTTTACATTTGAAACAATTAGGTAATTCAACAACTTTTCAGCCCCTTGTCGAGATTACTGATATTAGTGAGACAATTGGACATTTTAGCATTAGATTTGAGTATGCAATACATTGAGTATGAAAATGCAATAATACCATCGTCTGTCTTTGGCATAAATATGCACATAATTGGATTTTAATAAGACTGTGGTAGATAAATTGTGTAATAAAAGTGGCCAGTCCACTAGGTGACACTATGGAGCTGTTGTAGGCATCAGCTGTGCATGGCGTTATGACCATCAAGCAATGTAACAATGTTGGGTTTTTATTACTGTTTTTTTTAAAGAACAGATGCTTAAACTATTACATATATTTTAAGTATGATATCTTTATAAGTGTCAGTTGTACCTTTATACAGTCAGAAGTATATATTTTAACCCAACTACATTTACTCAAAGGCTTCAGTTAAATAACTCTTCAGGATAGGATATTTTTTAAGTTCAAACATTGAAATAGACAAATAGTTTTGTGTAATATATGAAGTACTATTACAGATTCAACAATAGGCTATTTATATTGGTATTTGGTAGTAGTTGAAATGGCTCTGTCTTGCTGCTGCTACTACTTGGTCTACAACATTACACTTAGATTGCATTAGTAATATCAACAACTCTTCCTTTCGTTAATTCAACAACATAGCAGAGAATGGTTTGTAGCTACTAGTCTACTTTGATACAAGAAAACAAACTTCAGTATTTTCCTATTTCTGTATTTGGTCAATATGAAAAAAGAACAGTAGGCTAACCTAGGTTGAGAAAGTGTAGCCTACTGGTTAATAGAGCTAGCTGTTCACCAATGTGTAGGATTTAAAAAAACTAAAAACACCTGTTATCTCTTCTTTTGGGAATCACATAAACCCTTGACGCTTGGGGCACTGGAGGCTTTTTCTAATAGGCCTACCTTTTGATGAACACAGTCATCAAAAGGTAGGCCTTTGACTACATTTCCCATGAAGCACTGGGAGTGGGCGTTTCTTCCTGGTAAAGGTTGGCCCTGCTGCTGCTGAGCTGGGAGGTGACGGGCTGTCTCTCTGTTAGTCGGACAGAGGGGAACTTCACGGCGGCTACGGGTGTGGCTTCAAACGTGATACATCTCAACGCGGGGGAAGAATGCTTAACGGCACTAGGGATTAAAGCAAAAAAACATACAGAGCAGTGAAGAGAAATATCATCTGAAAAGTGTGTGGTGTGTGTGCGGTATCCTCACTGGCAGCAGGAATCCGTGTGTGCTCGGGTTTTCAACAGCTGGAATACTTTTTATTTTTGCTCAACTCCTGTTTTCGTGTGTTTTAACCTGCTCTCTTGTTTGACTGTACGAACTACCGTTTTATCTAAAAGTGAAACGTTAGAAAAAAGTTCCTTGAGTCGCTGGACAACTTCTCAACTCTGACAAGAAACCACAAATGCTGGTGAAGTGACTGAACAACCAAGTGTGTTTTGGGGAATTGTTAGAAATCCAAGTTCACATTGCAGGAGGAAATCTATGTTTCTAGTCCCCTGTCGCCTCTCACCAAAAAGAGAAGTCGCCTTACCCAACTTCAGCCCTTAAATAAGGGTTTTTCGGACTCAGCCGATACATTATTTCTCAGGTGATATTTCCCCACTAAGCAGCAGTCCTGAAGCGCGCACTAGGAACCATGGGTTGTACGGTTAGTCAGGAAGATAAAGCCGCGGCCGAGAGGTCTAAAATGATTGATAAAAACCTCCGAGACGATGGGGAGAAGGCGGCGAGAGAAGTGAAACTGCTGCTGCTGGGTGAGTACTGTGTCACAACACTTGTACTGTCTTGCAAAAGTGCCTCATTAATGGCCACAGATGAATTGTGCAATAGCATGGAACACTTGACCATTTGTACACACATGACATAGGAGAATAACAGACACATAACAGACACAAAGCCCACGAGTAAGTTACTTTTTTAGCTTTTAATGTTCCCTTTTAAAGTGTGGCCTTCATTCATATCATTCGCACTGTTGAAGTGTTTTTACAGCTACACCAGAACTCTATTGGTTAGAGTTGAGTGTAAACCCTCTGGAGACACACATGAGGCAATGTGCAGTCCTGTGAACTAGCCCTCCCCACTGCCATAGTGTGTATGTTAATTATAAGTTGAATGTCCTGTCCTGCCCTTTGCCTTTATTCTAGGCTCTGCTTACTGTAAACATGTGGGCTTTATTTGGGATGTTTGGAGTTGAAACATCATTCAGGATCACGTGTCTTGCAATTGATGGTGTTAAATGCTAAACTCTGGATGTTGAGTGAGAGGCAGAGTGTCTGATTTCTTTTGACAAGGTAGCCAAATAGGCAGTCTTATATTTGCAGAGGTTTCCTCCCACCAGGACTGAACTGAGGGGTCAGACAAGCCAAGGTCTGGTTGATAATGAGTGGGCGGCTGCTGTTTGGACTGAGGGTCAACAGCCCTGAATGTTCCCAGCACTCACACACACACGTATAAACAACTGATTCATAGTAGTGCTTGGTAGCAAAGAGAGAATGAGGCTTTCCCAGGCTTTTAATAGTCTCCTTGCTTCCTTTGACTTATAGCTTACTGGACACATTGCTTTGTTCTGCTTTGATATTGAAGACACTGACATCTTGTTTTACTTCCAACCAGCCTTATCATTTGAGATGGTCCTTTATGGCATGGGGCATTATGAAAATGAATGTCAATATTATCCTGCTAATCCTTAAAATATGCTCTAAATGTAAAATGAAATCACTTTAATCATACAGTCTCAACTAAGGTATCAATAAATCATAATGTTCCCATGCATAAATACCAGATAAATGTTCTTTCTTGCATGATCATTCTTGTCTAGTTTTTTTGATCAGGCTTTATATTGTGAGTCATTAAATAGCTATTTTTCATCCGTGATAAAATCCTACATCTCATCACTTTTCCAATACCTATTCTTTTTTTTTTTCAAGCAAGTATCCTCTAAGAAAGAAAACCTTACTAGATATGCAGCTCAGACAAGCACAACAAATTGGCTGCTTCAACAATAATTTGTATGATGAAAGGTTCAAATCAGTAAATTCAAGCATCGATGATGTGTTTAATTTCATTTCCATTGATTCACATTCCAGAAGTTACTCCTGTTATTGCCTCAAGATAGTCAATGCAATTTTGAGTCAGCCACTCATAGAATTGTATTGAAAACGCCATGCTGAACATATGCTCTGGTTAATATTGATCCTGTGTGCAGAGAAATATGGGTCAACTTGAATCATATTTGAAAAAAACGATTTCATATTCTCATTCTACACCACGCTCAAGCATACTATAGCTTGCATAAATCAGAAGTAGTTGGAGGCATTTTGTAACAGGTTGGCGGTCACACAACATTGATTTGTCTTCCTCTTCCTGACAGAAAACAGTACATTCTGTAAATTGATAGAGACCGCATACTGTGTTTCTCTCTCTTGGGTCATTAAAGAGATGTCTGGTCGTTAACTTGTGCCACTGGTTAGAAGTCTAATTACATACTCTGCTGTACAGCAGGTTTCATATCAGTAATTACCATCCAGAGCAGTGTGTGGGGGAATTATAGGAAAGGTCTGAATCTGAACCCTGGGTTTGTGAATGTATGGACAAAGGACTTTTCCCCTTCACTTGTGCATTTGGAAAAAATCTTGTCACGGTGTGCAAAGACTATTGGATATAAACCTGCAATATCTTTTGTAGGATTTCCAGTCTCTGAAAAGTGAACTTTAAGTTCTAGATCTGGAAAGGGTAAATGCAGTTGCGCATTAATAATACCTTCAAGATTTAAGGTGCATTTTGTCAGTTAGAATAATGCTCCGTTACAGTGTCTCCATGTTGTGTTTTTTAGTTGTAGTTGAAATCATATAATCTATTAAGTATGTGTGATAGAGGTGTGACATCCTTCCAGAGGTGCAACATCACACCTCCAGGTACGCTTTTCAGCACTCCCATCTGTTGCCATGGAATCTGTTGGAACAGCTGAGAAAAGAATGCCTGCCTCCTTCACCAGTAAACAGTCTGTGCTGTCAATGTCCTTCTCAGAGCAAACTCGTGAGACTCTTAATGTGAGCTGTTGGGGTCTAATGGTGAATGATTCCTCGTACCACAATGATGAATCTCTCTTTGAATCAATTCTGAATCACAGAGGGAAACCACAGAATGTATAATACAAATCTTAACTTCCCCATTTATATTTCTTACAGTGTCATGCAATAAGGAGTTTCCATTATAAATACTTTTCCTGTTGGCATGCCTTACCTAAAGCAAGGCTGTGTTAGATTGTTTTGCTGTCCCCAGAGAAAGCCATTAGTTAATGTAGCAGCGGGGACTTCATACCATTGAGGCTTAAGTTTTCATTAACAGGAAGCACTCATTCACAGGCTTCCCTGCTGATTCTGATCTTTGATTGACATGTAATCCTCCTCCCCGTTCACAACAAAGATTTCTCTGCTCACTTTAGTTGATTCACTCTATCCTTTGGCTTACTAAACTTTGTTTTCCAGCTCAACACAAATGAAAATGTATTTTGGCTGCATGCCACGCTTAAACTGTGAGAACTGCAGTCTAGTAGTAGGACATATTTCTGCATGAGGCAAACACACACACACACACACACACACACACACTGTTAATTGTAATAAACACATTGGCCTAGATTAGCGGCTTGATAGGCTATACTGTTATGTAATGTGCTGGCTCGACAGCCTCCTTTTATTGTAGCAATATACAGACTTATGGACGTCGCACTAAAAACGTCTTCGTTGTGTGTGAACATTAAAGAGGCGTGAAGCACGTGTGAAAACTCCCTTTTCCCCGCACAGCTGTCAGCTCGACAGGGTAGAGTTGATAAATGAATACAAAATAAAAAGGGGGCTGCGGTGAAAAAATGCTGATCTTGGAAGGAAAACAACTCGGTCTATTTTAGGTCTTAAAAAATAACTGATATGGCAGCGCTGTTTTTCCTTTCCATCGGGGATAGTGGACGTGTTGTTAAATGACATGATATAAGGCATGCTCTGCAGTACACATACAGTCGGTTTACGGTTGGTGCTTCCATGTGAAATTGACTTGGATTCCATTACATAGCGCTAGTGGTCACTGCAGTGAGGCTGCCATGTAACAATGTAAGGCTGACGTACTGTTCAGCCTGCAGCTGGTTTTATTCCTGATCAAAGCATTAAACGGTTAACCTAAATGAAAGCGGAAGCCACTTTGCATTTCTCATGCCACAGGATGGTGAATTCGTAGTTAATGTTTTCAGGCTAGGAATATATTAACTGCGTGTGGAGAGGGGATGCAAAGAAAAATCTTGTATAACTAACACGGCAACCATGTCTTTACACAAGGTTGTCATTATTATAAACCAGCATTAAAATGTTTTAACCACAGACAAAAAGAAAGAACACATGATGTGAAACCAGTCGTTTTCTCTTCCTCTTTTTAAATGTGCTCTCTGCAGTGTGCGTGAGGATGCTCGCTCGATAATCTGCATACTTTGCTAAAGCCTTGGTCAGGAAGTCGGGAAATAGCCTCACAGTGAACACTGAAGCAGATATTGGATGAAGTGAGCTCCAATGACAAAATGAGGCTAGATAGGCTACACTTAGTCGCCTGGACTTGCTCCTTCTTAGATTTCTTTCAGGCAAATGTGTGGAAAGTTCAGCTGAGTTTCCAAGCAACGAAAAAATGGGTTAGAGTTAAACCCTTCAGACCACTGAATCAACACTAGCACATAACAGGACATCCCTGCATGACATCCATTTTTTTAAATTACAGCTGATCAACCCACCTACAATGAGTAGGTATATCCGCTGTGGAAAATAAAAAACTATAAAAGCACCTGGTACAAAAAGTGAGTCAAGTCGAACCAATGCCAGTCAGTGAAAATGCGGTTTAACCTAGTGGCTATTTTCTTAGCTCAAAAACAACGAAACCCATCAAACCTATCAAGGAAATCAAGTTATACTGTACACTATTCAAAACAACAACCCCAGAGTCTGTATCTGTAACGGTACAAACTGTCTTTTATTTCCTCGTTGCAATAGAGAGCCACAGCCAAACACTTCAGGGTGACATTTAAGCTCATGTAATTTTATTAGGTCGTAACCACTGTCACACATCTTCACAGTTCACAGTTTCCTCCTGTGGGTTCCAGCAGACTAAACTGTTACATTCATTCCTCTTAACAGCTTTGATCAGGTAACTTTCTGGAGGCTTAGCGATGCAGACATAGTATTGATCACAAAGAGAGGGCCTCTATCGACTAGCCCAGCCACTGCTCGATTTGTGAAAGCCATCAATGTGAGCAGGGTTGAGCTGGGAAACCTGAGCTATTGGTTAGAGAGGCAGGGAGATCAGAGGCCTGTACTACGAAGCTGGATTTTCGCTTAGCCGGCTAACTTCAGGGAAATCTCGGGCTTTCCGGTCCTACGACGCTGGTTCTCTTTTTAGCAGGCTAGATTTCCATGGTAACTTATGCTGAGTGGCAAACCTGCTCCGGAGCAGGTAAGGTGGCAGGCTAAGAGATCAACTCAGTGAAAGCACTGCCTGCTGACCAATCAGAGCTCCGTGTGCGGAGTTTAAAGCGATCAATTCATATTACAGGATAGAGGAAATACAGAAAAACTGCCGTTGCAGGAAAGACGGCCGGCCAAAATCAACTGACTGTGTGAACGTGAAAATTAATAGAATATCCCCTCCCATCTTCAGAGCAATCTGACTATTATAATATTAGCGCTAAGAAAGCTTACTTAAATATCTGCCATGACAT